GAGGTCACGGATCAGCAGACAATGAGCTGTCAGTCTGGGTTGCTGCTGCTGCTACTTTTAGACACAGCAGGCAAACCTGTATCAAGCCGGGCGATGGGAAAGAAGGAGAAGATGATGAGAAACAGTGAAAGAAAATGTGGCCTGCTGGAAGAACTGCAGTGAAGTGGTGAAAGAAAACTGAAGTGGCGTGCTCCAAGATGACCCTGCATATTTTGAGTATGTTTGGCTCAACCTACATGCTTTAGTACGGCTTTGTCGCCATTCAAACCCAGTTTAAATCCTTGCAGGGCAGCATAAAGCCCACTGCTCTCATTAAGCCAGAAAAAAGGAAAAAACAAAACAAACGGTCAGTTCAGGTGTTTTCTAAGATAAGGGAATCAGGATATTGTCTGAAAGATTGTTGTTCTCTGCTTCAAAAACACTTAAGTTAAATTTTCTATTTCTTTAAATAACTTTTACTTAAAAATTCAATGTATAACATTGATGCATAAAAACCTAATTTTATTCCAGTGTTAAATTATTTTCAAAGTAAAAATGTCTCCGGACCTTTACTGGTTGAGGATTTTCTTTATTTTGACCCCGCTGATTTTTTAATTGGTTACCCCTGCCTTAATGTGACAAAATGGGAAAAACTTTAAGAGGTATGAATATATTTATAAAGACATTGTACCTGTTTCAGGTCTGGTATTGGAAGCAGCTTTTCCAGCTTCAAGAGGAGCTCCCACAACAACACTTGTAGTGCTGCATCGTACTGCTGGCCGTATTCGGCAGGGAACACCTCCTGTAATAGACAATGAATCATCATTTTAATCATTTCCTTCAATCAAAGCAGATAAATGGTGAATTTAAGTTATTCTCACCTGAAAAAAATAGGCCCTCTCTGCTGGATCTTTGAGCAAACTCTGAACCAGTGCAATAAACGTTGCCTCGGTTGTTTTCACCTCTGCATCTACGCCCTGCTGCAGAAATCGTATCATTAACTGAGTATTATTTAAATAGTTATTTTCCTCCTAACTATACTTACATATATGGTGGTATAATTTACTGGGAGTCTGTCCAAGTAACTCTGGATTCCCTGAGTATCCACTTCTCCAACAGCACTGCCTTTACATAGCTCCAAAATCAACTAAAAATACCAATAAAAAGTGTTACCAACAGCATGACCAATAAAACCCATTTAATCATGATTCAAGCTGAGGCTGACCCTGGCCCTCAGGCCGAGCAGAAGCTGTGCTCTCTGTCGCTGCTGGATCAGGCCGGGTACTGCCTCTGTCACCATGCAGACAAACTCCTGCAGTTTCCAGTAGTTTTTCACATCCTTCTGCTTCACCACATGCCACATGGCAGCAGACAGAAGCTGCAAAGGTGGAACCAGGAGGCGAAGGGATGACAAAAGCAGGCTTGGGTCTAAAAACAGAGCGGTGTAGTGGGAAGAAACGGTCAGTAGGGGGCAGCATTAGGTTGCTTACTCAGAAGTTTGTAGACAGTTTCGCTTGCAGAAATTTCATTTCCATTTCCTAACTCCGAATTAATTACAAGACACATAAATAGCAATGTGCTTTACTTATACACAGCTTTATTTCATTTATAATCAAATCGAGATATGGTAATGCATTATTTTCATGGTTATGAACTGGAATAATTGCTGGAAATATCTCCTTAAACTGCACAGACTAATATATTTAGAGATCCATTTTTAAAAATTAAAGTTCCATATTGAACAATGTAGATATGACTAAATTAATAACACAATAAAAACATCTGTGCTTTACGGTAGATATAAAAAAATATCACGGTTCCGTTAAATAGACGGGCCCCAAGTATTAGATTAGTAACTGAAACGTCGTCAGCGTTCATTTTCAGCAAACGGACATCATTCGTCTACATACCTATTATTTTTTGTTTTGATCTTAGAGCCTCCATTTGTGCATATGTCAAAAACCGAAACTGAATGGTTTATGGGTTTATTTAAGGCATTAAAATGCGTTGTCCGGGCGCAAGCATCGCTTTCTGAACTCTCTTCCTGTATTTCCACCTTCTTCTTCTTCTTATGGGATTTTATGGCGGTTGGCAGACTTGTGAATTGTGCATTACCGCCACCAACTGATATGGAGTAAAGCAAGAAAACAGGAAACGATTCACCCCCCCAAAAAAAAAAAAAAAAAAAAAAAAAAAAAAACCTGTGTAACTTAAACCAACATAATACTAAATCACATTTGCCCATATAATTTTAATTTACTCTAGGTCATCTTAACTCTGCCAGTTTCTGATGGTCCCATCGGTCCTCCCATCATACTTCCAACCATCTCCCAGTTCAAATCTTTAATGTCCAGATATTTTTCTGCAGCCTTCACTATTATTTTGATTTTTTCCGTTTTTTTTGTTGTCTGTGCAGTACAATTAATAACTTCTACCATGAAAAGAACAAAATTTGTCTTTTTAACAATAAGTGAGTCTTCATCAATTTTTAGAGATTTCTCTAGAGGTTTGGAATTTGCTGTGTGTTGAACTGTAGGTTTGGGTTTTTCTGACTGAGATGGGATCCTTTTTGCAGCTTCAGCGTAGGTTATTCCGAGCTCAAATTTCATTTTTTTAATTTCCTCAGACCTTTTGCTTGCTTCACAGCCGCGATAGGCAGCAGTATGTTCTCCACCACAATTACAGCATTTTATTTTAGCTTCTTTTCCACATTTTCCGTACTCATGTTCTCCTGCACACCTTCCACACCTCTGTTTCCCTTTACAAACTGCTGCAATGTGACCGAATTTTTGGCATTTGAAACATCTCAATGGTGGAGGATTGTAGATTTTGACATTATAGCTTATGTAACCGATGAATACTTTGCTTGGTAATTGCTCTTCTTCGAATTTAATTAGCACAGATAAACTGTCAGATCTTTCTCCGTTTCTTGTTGTTTTTAACCGTTTTACTTCTTTTACTTTTGCACCTCTTATGTTTTCCAGAATCTCTTTTTCAGAAATTTTTAGAGGAACTCCTCCAATGACTCCCCTGCTGAACTTTTTGTTCTCCATTAAGCTGCACTGAACTCTTATCCCGTCAATTTTGTTGATCCGTATTGCTTTGCCTTGCTGGGCGCTGTCTCTGCAGTTAATTAGCAGGTCTCCACTGTACAGAATTCTGGCACCTCTGACTTCTCCGACAAGTTTATTGATGGTTTTTGTTAAGTGAACCGGATTCCAATTTGTAAAAGAGTCTGCCTGATTAACGACTTTGAATATGACTTTGAATTCATTTTGTTGTGCTGTGGAATGTATGGAATGATCATCACTGGATTGTTCTGAACTAGATTCCCCTTGAACTGATCTCTGTTTTTTCCGCTTTTTCTCATTTTTTGATGTTGCTATCTTCCAACCTTCATTGTCACTATTTCCCTCTTCCATCCCACAAGAATCGCTTCCTGTTTCCTCACTACTCACGGCCCAAGACATTTCTCCATAAGCAGCTTCAAAACACGCGCCATGCACCAAACGACCATCCACATGCAATCTTTCCGGCCTTCCACCTCCGACGTTTCTTCTTCGTGGGAAATTTTAGTGCCTCGTATTTCCACCTTTTCAAAGTAAAAGCATGATCAATATAAAGCCATATACTGTTTGCGCATGATCAACATGGTTAAAAAAAAGACAAATTAACAAAGGTTATAGTTCATACTTCTAGACAGATGTATAACGCTTTTTTTATTTGCTTTTTGTTTTGTGGGAGAATTTATATATAGCGTCCCGATCCACACTCAATACGTTGCTTGCAAAACGCCATAAGAAAGGAAGAAGAAGACTACTTTATTTACACAATTCAAACATGTAAACAATTCACATAAAACAAGTATCAGTTAAAAATCACTATTAAAATCAAAACAAGTTAAAATCATTAAATTAAGAGCTTGTTAAAATGGAGTTCTCCATCATCTGACACAGTACATAAAATGTTTTTAAAGCCCCACAACTGAATAAAATCCTCCATGTTCTGTGTGGCTCTGTGGAAGAAAAAGAGGTATAAAGCGACAACTTTATACTAAACTTCTCCTTTATATTGAATTTTCCTTTTTAAAGAAAAAATGCGTTTGATATGTCAGAGACAATTGTAAGCCTAACAAACAGGAACACAGTCTCCTTTTCTTAGGTTTTTATTTACCGTAATAGAACCTCTACATATCTAAAACATACAGATATGGTTTAAATGGGCTGTACAACTTTTTGAAGCTTTTTGGTGTTTTCCTAAAAATGTTGGCAGAGGAAAAACAGATAAAATACATACATAGTCAATACACCAAAAATAGATTAATACACCAGCTTAATATTCTGGCTTTCTGAAATAAACAATAAAAAAAAAGGTCAACCAAGGCAGAAAAATTGCTACTTTATTGTTTATTAAGTATTTTTTTAGGAGCAACCAAGTCCACTTCCAATTTATATTTTCAAAAGTGTTGGACAAATTAAATATACCAGCTGGTGAAAAAAAACAACATCTCGTAATAGAATATTTCTCAACCATTTGTTGGTTGTTTTCTTACTTATAAAACGACAAGAGGAACCTTTTTTTTAATAACTTTATTTGGAACAGTAACAATGACAAACTGAACATAAAGTCAATCATACCTCCTAACACTTTTCTTAATATTTTTTTTTCTTTTCTTTCAAGTTGCGATGCAAACAGATGTTTAGTTTATGCAAAGCACTTCAGAAAGAGAGAGAAAAAAACGAAATCCAAAGATATCTATAATTACATATGTCGAATATAACAGAATTATAATGAAAGACAAATGAATAAATAAAAATAAAACATATAAATACAAAACACACGCACACAAAAAAAGAAAACAAAAAGCAAAGTAAGCATTATTCTTTAATTTGTATCGAGGGAGGGCTGAAATAAATTAGAGAGGTGATATGACAAACTTTTTGCTTTTGGTTTCTGAATTTTGCCCAAGGAGACAAGAGGAACCTACTTTACTTCAAAATAAAACAACTTCCTGTGGCGTCATGACGCAGATGTCACGCAAGTTGGAGTCACATGAGTGGTTCCTAGCTTTCAATCTAATCTCCGATTCGTTTCACATCCTATTTTTTTATTTACTATCCTAAAACCCCAGCATGGACGAGGACGGTTTGCCAATCGTTGGTTCTGGAGTTGATCTCACTAAGGTTCGGGTTTAAAACTAGTTGGTTTTCATGACAACCGCTCTCTGAGGAAGTAAACAGTCCATTTTTCCAGTGATTCTCTCAGTTGCTGCAGCATACACCCCGGTTCACCTCTAACCTACTGCCTATAATGCGTTTACTTTGTCCGCTTTTAAACGCTAATCAAACATGAAATGTTTTATTAACATCAGTGGTTCGTTTTAATTCGCCGTTATCTCTTCCTCCTCTGAATTAGCATGTAGCTCGTGAACTTCGAGATATTTTGAATCGGTCTCCGCCAGTCACGTGACTTTTGTTACTAAGACGCCATTTTAGGTGGAAAAGGTGTAGTGTAAACAACCGCAGCATAGCTAAACGGAGGACTAAAGGCCCGTTTACATAGCAGCCTGTCCAAGATAAGTCATTACAGTTAACATAAGCCTGAAAACAGGGGCGGATTTAGGAAAATCGGTCTCCGCCAGTCACGTGACATTTGTTGCTAAGACGCCATTTTAGGTGGAAAAGGCATCGTGTACCGCGCCCGAGGTAAACAATTGACGTCACGTGGCGGAGACCGATTGTTGCTATATGTATTTTGTGTGTTGTTTTTTTTAAGACCAAACTAATTTTGTAGTAATGTTAGTAGTAGTGTTAGAGTTGGAAAGAAAATGAAATATGTTATTATTAAAAAATAATAATTAAATATCCGTTATTTGTGCAACAAATGTTCCCATAAGCCCCTGCAACAGCGCCTCGAGCTATGTGCAACAATCCTTTCCTAATGTCTGCTTGCTTCCCCTATTTGTGTAGATATTTGAAAAGCAGCATGTTTTAAGCAGAGACGTAGCTAGAATATTTTTATAAGGGTGGCCGAAAGTTGTTAGTGTGAAACTAGAAATGGAAAATTAATGGGCACAACATCCATATTTTCTAAATAAAGACAAACTATACTTTCCTTCAACCTTTGCTGACAAATAGACGCATAAATATTGAAACATCTGTTCTTTCTAGATAAAAGGTATAGTTGATTCAATTCTTTGAGTTTGAGTTCTGGGGCGAACATCTTTTCCATTGTCATTACTTACCTGCTTTTATCAATAATAATTCTACATAAAGTTGAAATTTACATGTACTAATATCTACATAAATGTATTATTTAATACGTTTTATTAAAATAATTATTTATCAATGACCTGCAGAGACATGGAATTTTCTCTTTACCCCCTATAACACAAAATCTAGTTCGAAAAAGGGCATGAATTCTGTACTTATCATTATTTGTTAGTATATTGATTTGCATAATTAACCCAAAGTGTTTTTGTTGTCAAGTAATTGTTAATATATGAAAATTAAAATGTTTTCAATATTCCACTTGAAAGTATTGCTGTTGCCACCATCTGCATTAGAGGGGGAAAAATGTTCAGAGGTGGCCACAGGGGTGGCCAGTGATTGGCTAAGCACCCCTGGCCCCCCATCTAGCTCCGCCCCTGGTTTTAAGCATTTGTTTCAGTTATCTTAAATTATTTCTGCTTTCCCTAGGTCCCTGCTATACAGCAAAGGAGAGTGGTCGCCCACCTTAATCAGTTTGTTGTTCACACAGTTCGATTCCTTAACCGATTCTCTGCTGTGTGTGAAGAGGTTTGTGTTTTTCCTCTTTCTCTCTTTACATCAGCACGCGCCTGCTGTCTGAATAAAGTCACTAATCACTTTATTTTACCTCCCAACTACAGAAACTTTCAAACATTTCCCTTCGCATACAGCAGATTGAAACCACCCTGTGTATTTTGGAGGCTAAAGTAAGTTCTAGCATGGAATACAATTAGTTTGGATGCATGTTTACAGTTTTAACAATCTATTTATTTTATTTTTTTTACAGTTGTCATCTATTCCTGGACTAGAGGATGTCACAGTCGATGGACTCAGCCAGCAGCAAAGTGGGCAGTCTAATGGACCCGTCACCATCAGTCAGAACCAATCAGATTCTATAACAGCGGGAGCTCCTCCCTCACAGGTAGGAATACAGACTCACTGTAAATAAGTAATAACTGTTTCAGAATAAAATGTTTGATAGTATCAGACCTGATCTGATCTTACTAAAAGCTGCCTCTCCATGTTTGGTTCTGGGTATGCAGATTAGATTTGAGGCAAAAGATCTGAGAGGTCTGGGTTTTTAAAATACTGATGGCCTCTATAATTTGTTTTGGTGATACGCCATCTAGTTATTTATGGTCTTAGAGAAGTATTTTGGAATATATTCTCTGAGATACAGGAAGCCAGTGTAAGGACTTTAGATCTTGGGTGATGTGCTCTACTTTCTTAGTTTTAGTGAGAACACTGGCAGCAATCTGGATCAACTGCAACTTTCTGATCCAAATTTTAGAAGCGCTTTAATCCATGAGAGCAGGAATAGGCTGCATTATAATTTGGTTGATAAATACATTTAAAGTGGTTGTTTTCCTGGCATAAACCCTACTTTTAAATAAATTCACAGCTTTTTAGTTTTATTGACTTTAAAGCTTTCAAAGATGCATGAAGCTGGATGTTAGCCTGCTGCCTTCATCCAAACAAAGTTTTAATGTCTGTTTGGGGTCACTGTCCCGTCACAGCACAGAACTGTGTCCAAGTTACTACACTACCGTCTTGATTATTTTTATTTACGTTATGTTATTGTTCTGCTGGGGAGAAAAAAAGCCCAGACAGCCTGATTCTCTCCCATCACCATTCCTTTCTCTTAGTGTGGCGGTCATAGTTTGAGCGCCTGCCATTATTTCCTCCAAATGTACTTCTCACCTTCATAGATGATAGATTTAGACTTATAAAAACTTTATTGCCCTTTTGTATGCACACATATTGCATACAGCTTAAAACAGTGTAATGAGATTGCAGTCGGAGTAGATAAACATGACCAAAATAAAGTGTAGCAGTGATCAGTGTGTAACAATGTAGGAGAAATTTTTTTTTAAAATAATGGTTCAAAAGGGCCTTAATATCGAGAAATTCAGTGCATTGTAAAATAAATATAGTGCAAAATGCAGTAGAATATTGAGTTGTGTCTTAGTTAAAATCAGGGGTTGACGTTAAGGATTTTTACCACTTGCCCGACTTTCACATTTCATTTGCCAAGAAAATATTTTTACTTGCCCAGTATAATGTTTGATAAATATAGTTCCTAATATTCATTTTTGTATATATATCAATGAAACATGTTTGCTTTTTAAATGTTTTTTGTAATTCAGTAATTTTTAAGTTTCCAGGTTCCTGGTGTGTATATGCATGCGTCAGATAATGAACTCAAGCCTACATTACCGTGTTAACATGCTTTTCAATCCTTCCTGCACATTCTTTTCAAACTAAACTTTGCTTTAAACTGTTGTGTGCTTGGAAAAATATAAATTGTAATGTTAAAAATCTAAAAAAAAACTTGACAGGTTAAAAACTTAAGATAAATCACATACAGAAGTCAATGTCACAAATGAATAACTTTCTTTTTAGAGTCACGGTATGTTTTATACAGGGTTTCCACAGTCTTACATAATTTCAGAATTCCCTGACTTTTAACTGACTCAGGATTAGTTTTCCCTGACAAAATAAATGCAGCAACAAGACGATAATAATAACATAACAGGTCAGAAATTTAACATGTTTAGCTCTATAACATTTAAATGTCTAAGAGACAAAAATTGAATGAACATTTTTAAATGTATGACCTGCATCATTGTACAGAAGACTGACATATGATAGCGCTTCCTAGCTTGTTTGTTGGTTTGGTAACTACATCAAAATTACCGCTAGGTGGACAAAAATCACGCCATCTGGCGGAAAATCACCCGGTGAAAATCACGCGAGAATGTGTACTAAACAACAAAAATGGCGCCGGAAACGCTTCTGGGTCAATTTCATCAACTTGCCCGGCGGGCAAATGCAATAAAATTTGTACTCTCCCGACAATAAAAACGACTTGCCCTGGGCGATGGGGCGATGGTTAACATCGAGCCCTGAAAAGGATTATAAAAGCTCAGCAATGTTGAAAGTGCGAAAAAATGATGGGGATGCTTCTTTATGTTTCATGATTTTGGACTGTGATAATGGTTGATGGCATCTATTCATGTTGCAGCCGGATCAAAGTTCACCAGAAGCTGCACCTGCACAAGAAAAAGCAGAACCAGTGCCTGAGAACATCATGACGGTGGCTAAAGACCCACGTTATGCACGTTATCTGAAAATGGTTCAAGTGGTAAGCTGTTATGTGATTGAACTATATATAAAAGTAATATTAAGAAAAAAGATATTATATAATATGTATGGATGCTGTGTTTTCCAAGGGAGTACCAGTTATGGCCATTCGTAACAAAATGATAATGGAAGGTTTAGATCCAAATCTACTTGAGTGAGTTGATTTCTTCTCATAAAGTTTTAATTGATAGTTTTCTGTTAAATGTCAAATTAAATAATTTTCTCCCAACAACAGCGCACCTGATGCCCCTGTGCCTGATGGAGCAGCAAGCAGCACAGAGAATGACGATATTCCTGCCAGCAGCTCAGATAGTGAATCATCTTTCAGTGACTGATCCGTTTTCTCTTTGTTTTCATCACTACAATGCTCCATGTTTTGGCTCATTAATTACTGTCTGCATGGTGTTGCACAGTATGAGGCTTCATTGTGTGAGTAGAGGACACACAAAGGTGCTTGAAGGATTGTATTTTTCCTGGAAATGGTACTACTGCTTCCTTTTGTCAACATGGAAGCATCTTTGTTTTCATCCATTGATTTGATTTTTTGTTTTAATCTTTATTAAAGTCTCTTTATTAAATCTTTATTTTTCAAATGCATGCATCAGTCATTAGAACACAGGACCAGTAGTATGATGTAGCAGCTGGAGTCACATTAGAAACAGTGCAGGTAAAGGTGCATCAGATTGCCAATTACATTGAAATGAGTCTCTGCATAAGCACCACATTTAATGCTATGCATTGCTCTACGTCATGGCAGCCAAACGCAGTGCATTAAATCTTGGGTCTGTGTAGCTCATAAAGCAGGATCAGAAAGGGATAAAGACCCTGAGCTGCCTTTTTGGTCTCCCCAACTGTAGCTGGAGAAGGTTGCAGCACCACAAAGCTGATTGTAAGGTTTAGCAGCTAAATTTGCTCTCTGAGATGATCAGGTCCAGCCAGTATTTTGAACTCATGAATCCTGTCAACATTAAGCAGAAAATGCAATTCCTTTGTTTATTTTAACCTGCAAATATATTGATGAATTGCTTTTCTAAAAGTCAGGAATCTATTTAATTGTGTTTCCAAGCATTTTTCTGGTACCTCCATGAAATATATTCTATATAAATACATTTTATATTACTAATACTGTTGAACCCGCCAAACTTGTGGGTACTCCTGGTGTAAATAAAATGATATTTTATTATTGTGACATAAGTGGTTTAAAATAAAGTAGGTAATGGAGATTTTGTCAAGTTTGCACCATTTTTCATTACTTGCAATGACCGCAGATAAGCACAACTTTTATTTTTTTCTAAACCATGTTCTGCCTTGATTTATTCGAATGTGTCCATCTTCTTCCTGTTTTGCAGAGTAAGACTGTTCATTTTTTTGTCATAGTTATACTTCAGACATTGGTCAATCAAAAATATTTAATTTTTTTCACAAATATTTCAGCCTTAGATTATGTGGCAGATTATGTAATATTAGTGCATTTCAGCATAAAATGCATGAATATTACATGAGCAGTGACAAATGAAACAGGAGAAGCAGTCAGTGCCATAACTGTTTTAAAGATGGAACAGATATCCCTGGAAACCAGAGAATGTATATTCTGATAACGTGTCTTTCTTTTGGTCTGTAATAAAAACAAGTCTATTTATACAAATAGTGCAGTTTACATTTTCTCCTGTGCAAACATTTTTTGGGAAAGAACTAGAACACTGGTAACTAGCCTGTGCTTATATAGCACTTTCTCAAGTCAGAGGACTTGACCAAAGCGTTTTACTCTACATTCAGTCATTCACCCATTCATGCACACTGATGTAGGATAATGTAAAGGAGGTAATATGATCAGTCTTACCTTGAATAATAACAAACAACTGGATGACTTCACTTGACTGTGACTAGAATCTTGCACAGTAGCTTTTGAAAATCTTATAATGATGGCGGAAAGTCCTATTTTATGTATTTTTATTATTAATTTCATATATATGTTTGTTTTTGTACCACAAGAGGGCACCAAAGCTATTCTGGCCCCAAGAGCAACTAGTTGGGCAGGGTTGAGTTGGGATGGGAAATGCATGAATGATAAGTGTCTCATTCTAAGGCAGATTACATCAATAATTGCATTTTTCTGTTTATATCTATCAATGTTTCCATGGCTTTACAGTCTAGCACTGCTTTCATTGATCTGAAAGAAAAAGTAGGCTTAAAGGCTTAAAAGAGGCATTAAGCTTTTTCTATTCCTCTAATGCTCCGTTTTGTCTCTATCACTTTAAAATGTGGAAGAAATATCTGTCTTGAACCTTTTTTTATTTCAATTCTGTCAGCCATACAAAAATTGGAGCATGTCTAAATGTTTATCAAATTGGATTGAACAGAATTAAAAGATGAGACTGTTTCCTGTCTTCCAGAGGTGGACGTCACAAAGTAGCCCAAAGTAAATCCTGAAAAACTGTTCAGCTATTTCAGTCACTGAGCACAGAATGATAATGTTGATGATTTCAGTTTATAGCTGAGAGAAATACAAGTTTAGTTTCAACTATATTTATCATTTGGGATTAACCTTCAGGGAAATTATGGTTCCAGTAGCTTATATAGTGTACAAGAGTTAAAGCAAGATTCCATTAAAGATACAAATACAACAGACAATATAAAAAGAGTTTATGCAATACAAAAAACCCCATAAAAAAATGATTTTCTCCATCAGAAATGGAGAAAATAAAAATGAAAACCTGATCAAATCCATACAGGACTTGATTATCATCGTTAATCACGAGGAACCACTCTATAAAGGGCCGAAAGGCATGAGACATGAAAACCATTTATTTTTAAGATTTGTTTATGTTTTTGTAAAATTGAGATGCATGATAAAAAAAATAATTAAACAGGATTTATTTAATATTTTAAACAAATTGACAAGAAAAAACAATGATTACAGGCAATAGTAATGAGGTTTGCCAATAAATATAATTCACATTAAAAGCACCATTTGTCACAAATGTGGAAGTTTCTGCTTAAAAAAAACAATCCTGCATTGTACAGATTTCAGGGTATAAAAATTATTTTGCGGCACATTAATCCTTTGACTTAACAATTCTGTGCTACTTTTTGTTGATCTATCACCAATACAATCAGTCAGCTAAAGTTTATATTTATGTAAAATTGTGTTTGCAGTTTAATTAAAAGAAATATTAAAGTATTGTTCCGAAATCACTATATTTTATGCTCAAAACAAGTTTTAAAATTACAAAATAACAATTTTAATATTTAATATAAGCCTGACACCACCTTAAAAGCGGTCAGACTAGTAAACTACTGGTCAGCATTGGATGGAAATTTCTCACAGTACAATATGTCACGATAATCTGATAAGGTAATAATCATACCTTTTTTTTAACATTAAGCAGTTTCTAACGTAAAGTACTGTAAAATACGCATTTTAATGAGGGTCGTTTTAATAAGATAGGCCAAGATAAATAAGAGACTGATAAGGACAATTTCGGGATACATTTTACTTTGCAGCTGATGACCAAATAGAAAGTTTTCCCATAGAAATTTAATACGAGCTGCCCTAACGCAAACCTCATCAGCGTCTTCACGCGAGAATTTGTGTGAACACGTTACACACATTAGACCGCCCTCCCACGCGTTTCCAGAGCGAAAGTGGGCGTGCACATGTGACGTCACAATTAGTCACATCAAGCCTACGAATTTATCAAAGCTTAACAGACGACCAGAAGTTTTTGCAGAGGTAGGATTTATTCGAATAACGTAAAATGGTGGATGAAGATTTAAAAAAACAGTTTGGCATAGAAGATGGTATGGTCTTCAATAGCCAAACAAGTATGTACATATTCAACAAAATACTTGGAAGAGGGGCTTTTGGAGTAGCTGCCCAATGTACAGTTAAGGAATCTGGGCAGGATGTTGTCATTAAAGTAGGAAGAAAAGAGGCACGGGCTATGGCAAGCCGTTTTAACATAAATTCGGCTGCTCCACCTTTACATTCAAGATATCTCAAATTGTTTTATGACTAGACGTTTTAGTAATTTAAGATATCTCTAAATATATTTTGACTAGTCAAAATTCCTATTCGGGATATCTCTAATTACATTCTGACTAGTCGAAATGACGTCAGATTTACCATTAACTTGTATGGAGACGTCAATTTAAGATATCTAGAATTAATTACTGACTATCTGAAATACACATTTCAGATATCTACAATTAAATTACGACTAGTCATAAAGGAAATTGAAGATATCTCGATTTTAGTTTTGACTAGTCATAATTCTAATTAAAGATATCTCAAATGCCACCATATTTCAAGATATCTTAAATGTATTTTAGGATAGGAGATATGTATGGCAAGCCGTTTTAACATAAATTCGGTTTCGTCTGACTATCCATAATTACGTTCCAGATATCTTAAAATACTTTTTGACTAGACAAAACCACATTTTGACTATCCGGAACAGTAATTTAAGATATCTCTATTTACAATCTGATTAGGAAGAATAATAATTCAAGATATCTTCAATCACATTTTGACTAGTCAAAATTCCTTTCAAGATATCTCAAATTACGTCACCGGATTCCTCATTTAAAGCGTCACACATCGGTAATTATAATTTAAGATATCTCGAACGTAATTATGCCTAGTCAGTATTACAATTTTAGATATCTGAAGTAAGAGATTGCGTGTAAGCCTCTTATTGGCTGTACTAAGCTGTTCAAACAATTGCCTGAAGATTCAATGGTGCTGGCAGTTTTGGACAAAATTGTGAGAAAATGCCACAATATCGAAAGAGTTTTTCATTCTGGGTTATGTGGAGAGCGAGAAAAAAAGCATTCTTGAAGAATGCTTGCGGAATTTGCAAAGAATTTCTGATCAACTTTCTGCCGACACACACAACGCACTTAAAAACGGCATAGAGGAGCTGAAAGTGTTAATATCGACCCATGTCCGATCTGAAACAATGAATATTCGGCAGCCCGGGCCGGTTCAGGTAATAACCAGATGCAGTTTTTAATACTGTGGTAAAGCTTTCTGCCTCTTCGGAAATTATAGTAAAGCCAACTAGCTTTTGATTTTGACTTGCTAGACAGCACAAAGCATTACAGCACCCTCCTTCAGCTCCTCTGAAAATAAAAGCGCACCTCCGCTTCATGTCTGATTCACACTTAGATTTTCTTTTTATTTTATTTTATTGAAAAACAAATTCAAAATACTATTTCAAACAGTAGAAAGGTACAATTGAACAGATGCAATCCATAATGGTTTTTATAAGATAAAAAACTATAAACTTAAACAGACAAAAAATTTTAAAGAATCAAAAGGAAAAAATAGAAAAAAAGAAAAACAAAATAAAACAAGTAACACAGGGGTTTAGCTAAAGTATACTGCTATAAAATCTGAAGACCTGAAGGATTCTTTATTTTACAGTAACTTAAGTCATGAAAACGTTTTGCTTGGAAACTGGGAGACATTTTAAAGAATCTTCACTTGAGAATAAATCATTTTCCAATAATGAATATAATATTACATTAAAACACTTTTAGTAAGCTTGAAAAAATTCCTCTCCAGGTTATCATTCCAAAGTAGTCTTTTTCTGTAGAATTTCATCAATCCATCCAGTTCATGAAACACTCCTATAGCTTTAAAGAAACACTACAGAAAAAAGCATCTGTTGACACAAATTGTTTTCCTCCACTTTAGGAATGCAAAGATCCAGAGACAGAGCAGGGGGTCAGTGGGAATCCTACTGCTGCCACCTGGCCCTGGTTTGTCCTCATGGATGAGGTATTAGGACAGAGGCCCTCTGTTAAACCCACCTGTCCTAATTGCCTCCATCCCTGAGGACACAACAGGGCCAGGTGCTGCAGAGGCTGAGCAGCATCAGGGTGAAGATGAGGAAGAGAATGAGGATGAGAGAGGAGGGAAAGGAGAAAGAGAAGAAGGAGTGACGAGTTGGTTGATTTAATGAGGGAGGATATGAGATGGCAGAGGAAGGCGGGAAAGGATGGACAGATTATTTCATTTATTGGAGAGGATGGTGGACAGATGTTGATTTTTTTGTTTTGTTTTGTCTTTTACAAGTGGAGGTTCTGTGTTGCTGTTATTGTTAAATTAAATTATTAAATTGTTTATAAAAGTTATTGTTATCGGTGTGTCTTTTAACCTTTTTACATTATCTGTTTCATCACTTCTTTACAATTTAACCCCTTGAACCCTACGGACCCACCGGCGGGTCCAGCTGCTACGTGACCTCGTAATTTTACCAAACCCCCAGTATTGATGTAAAAAACAAATTTGGCACAGTTTGGTGTCATTTATGGATAAATGTGCCAAAATGGCCTCTCCGCCTAAGAAATTTCTCACTAATACCATTCTAAAATAAATATGATTCATCTGATTGAGTCCAAATTTGGTATATTTTTACACAACATTTAGATTTAAAAGTCTGTACTACTTTTTTGTGCTATAAATAATATTTTGGTAGTGTTTTGCAATGTTTATTTCAAAGAAAATTTTGGCGAGGTTCAAAAAATGCAAAATATTTTGTCCCTAATATTTCAGGCAGGGTCAAAGCTACAATGGTGCTGACACCAGAAAACCATTCTATGACATCTTACCTTTACAGACGTACCAAAAGTTTCTTC